TGCATGCATCATGCATTTGAATCAATCCCTGGTTGGGCTTCTACAGCACACATAGATCGAAAAGCATCAACCCCTTTTGTCATTTCTACTCTAGATGATAATTATAATACACCAATGAATTCATTACTACAATATCATAACACTGCAAAAAAAAAATAATAATATATGAAACAATATTAAAGGAATGCATAAATGAACATTTTTTGTTTTTGTTTTTACAGACTGAATTTATTATGTAAAAGGAACTATTGCCATCAGTACTTACTTCTTGCGACAGGTCTCATGCTGTTTATATACGGACATAAACTTACAGGAACAGAGGGTAAAGTATTTATCGTTATATATGTAGGACTCTGAACCGCAATGGTACTCCAAACCGCGATGGTCACGCTGAGGTGTGGTGGTTTGACGCTGAAGTGCGATGGTGGCATTGTAACCATATCTTGTTGATACCTATGCCGAAGTGTGATGGTAAAAACGCTGAAGTGCAATGGACTACATAAACTACATTTTCATTTCTTTTCATGTCGATGTAGAAGTCAGTTTGTTTGTATAGAAGCAGTTTTTCGGGTTTTTAAGTTAATAAGCAACGTATACACTTTGAATACTACGGTAAATGGGAAATGATTGGTGGAGAGTGGAAGGTTAACCTTCTCTTGCGGATTTTTTTTCGAAATCTAAAAAGGTTATTTTTGGCGCACGATGGAGCATGGCATTCTCTAAATACATTCGGGTCAGCAGACTCTCATTATTATTGTGTATAACATTACGGTAAACAAGGAACTCATGAGAGGAACCAAGTAAAGATAAAATGTAACGCAGAATTATTTTCACAGAAAATCAAAGAGAACGATCTATTATTTAGTATGAAACTGCAACTAAGGACATAATTAAACAATAATGAATTCAAATTTATATACTAACAATGACAAAATATACTTTTCATAATAATTGCACATCTGTAGATTTTAAACTAGCCATCACGTGTCATATAGACCATCGCACATCAGCGAACAGACCATCGCACTTCGACGAAGACCAACGCACTTCAGCGTAACCATCGCACTTAAGCGTCGTCATCGCACCTCTGAGTCCTACATATATATAAGTGTACACTCTTTCCATATTGATTTCTTCTTTTTCAGCTCATGATTCGGGAATCCGTCCACTTTTATTTCCCCTTAATTCTGTTACTTTCTGGTTGTTTAATCGTAGAACCACTGATTTCTATATGTTGAGATTTTCGTTCCTGAAATTTTTAACCACTAAAGACAATTAAAGAAACTTATGATTTAGATACCACGTTGATGCAAATTCAGATGTTTGTTCAAAAACCGCCTCATTCTATAAGAGTACCCTTTGAACCGCTTGTCGATATAGGAAAAAAGAAGGAAAAAATCGTTAAAAAACATGTTTTATATACTTGAATGGCTGAGTTCTACTATTAAAGCGTGTACATAGTACATATGTTGCGCGAAATACAGGTACTGAAATAATAAATAACCTTATATTGGATTGCAATAATTCCATCCTGCGTGTTTAATGCCACGAACGTGCTCGGCCAAATATACATGTATTCCTACTTGTGTTTATTTCTGATATACGTTACAAAAAAGTTATTTGAAAAATAATTGTCTTTTAACGGTTTATATTCACTTAGTGTATAAAATACTCGATTGTTTTCTTTTATTACAGATAAAGTTCAGGAAAAGGGGAAACATGGTAGAAGTTTTATAAAAGCAAAAGTATTGCACGATCAAATGGACAATATCGGTAAGGCTTATGTATCCAGGGAAACGATTTAATCTTGAAATTTCTAAATCGTGTTGTATAATACTGCAATACTATATTTTGGATTTCACGCTTTTAATTCGAATATTTTTAAACTAAGACTTCTGTACCGTTTGCAATTTTCACATAAAAATAAAAGAAAGAAAAAGTTAATGACAAAGTGAGATAGATAAATACCAAACAAAACAAACAATTATTCATTCTATACGTATATTGACTATAGGGAAAATGAAATGAGAGTGGAAAGTAGTTAAATAAAGGAGTTCATAACATCAGAAAATATTTTCTAGATGAGTAAAACTAGATATGGGATATACATCATGAGACACCAATCTAACGACACAACCAAACCAATTTAAGCCATCTAGCTATCAACATATACAATAATATTTATACAATATGTCAAGCTCTTAATCTACCACAGTTTAGTTTGAATTATTGAACAAATTAATCTGAGAGTATCACAGCTCTCCATCGTGGTGGATGACAACTATTTTTTTTAGAAATCTACCCTCCATCTTTTAATTTGGATCAATGAAATAAAAAAATACATAGAAGAACCAGTAAAAACCAGTTAAAACTATTGTCTTTTTTTTTTAAATATGTCTATGATCTGTACTTGCTGAAATGGAAACATCTACACACATATACCCTAAATAACTTGTTATTCAGCCCTGACAGTAGACATGCTTACCTGTGATGCCTTATGTATTTCGAATGACAAAAACACAAAAAGGGTGCATATTTTATTTGTATTTAAGGAATGACTGTAATATTTTTTCTGTCTATTCGAAATAACATAAAAAATGTTTTATAAAAAGACCATAAACCCACTTATTCATGGTATGGTATCAATATTTCTGACCTGACACTACGTACTTTTTATTGCTTAATTCTTTAGAATTTAATATGCAATGTTTCGGGTTCTTTCGGGAATAATCCCAGGTAAACCCTCATCAGAGGCCGACCTTTATATATTTATTTTATATCTAGTATTGTAGATAGATGTGTGTCTGTTTCATAACAGTTTTTTTCAAATTTACTACACGTGCATATAGGTCTACGTTGTAGCTAGTCTTTTTACAGACTAAAGAAACTGACCAAGTAGATCAGCACCTTTGGTTAATTATTCATATATATAATGAAAAGACTTATTGTCTTTATTGTCTTTATTCTCGTAATCTAATCTATCATAAATCTACACGAGATCTAATAGAGATAGTAGTTATCAGTGCTATACTGTTGAATTTACACTAGACTGTCGTGTATGTTTTAACACCTATTTGATAATATACAAATGTCTCCATGTTTAACAATTGAAGAGGTTTGTGTAGATACCATGTCGGTTCTATGCATGAATATAACAGGAACCATTCAGTTTTCTCTTGTACGTGATCTCTTGAAATAAATCGGCATCACGTCTTTTTACATCTGTTTCACAGTATAATGATTGTATACTAAAGCCTCCCGTGGTGGGGTATTGTGAATCAATGTCTTCGGCTTAATGATTAATTATCATGTTGCCAATATTCTTATTGTTTTTTAAACCAATATCAGGTTTGGATTTAGATAGTTTTTTTATTTATTATTTTGGCAATCGGATCTTTCCGAATTATATACCAAATTTTGTTATTACCGTGTTAAGATATTCAAGATATTTCTGCCACTTGTTTTCTAATATTTGGTTTCTTTCGAAGTTGCTGTCTGCATCTATGCTAACTTAGCCTAACTGTTTTGTTAGGGAGAAATCTGCAAGATATTTACACTTTAGACCGTATTTAAACGATTATCTTATAAATACATGTTGCTATTGTTTCTAAGAATTCTCGTACCTTCAGAAGGAATGAAAACAATGTACTATTTCAAATAATTGTTCACTTTGTTCACCTTCTTCATTAAATATATTAAATCCATCAATTCTCATTCTTTAGTGGAATTTAATATTATTTTCGTAAGATATTTCTCTGTTTTATGTCTATAATTATGGTTAAATATAGCAATATCGGATATTTCCAGGGAGGCAACTCTGCCCATTGAAACGCCAACGATCTGTTGCTAGTACAACAGTATAACTTTCGTTGTTCATTGACAATCATATTTATTTGTTATTAGTTTCCATGTAACCTTCAACGGCTTGACATAATAATTATTATCGATATTAGTTGCTTAACGTCCTGTTGCCAATATTTCATGTATGTTTAGGACTGTGATATAGTGATGACATAAGGTTGTTTACTAGTATAATAGTATAACTTCCATAGGTCGTTGACAATCATATTAGTTGTAGTTAGTTTCCATGCTACCTTCTAAGGTTTGACATGATACAGCGATAAATTAACGATTTTTGGTTGCTTAGCATCCAGTGGCAAATATTTCATGTATGTTTAGGACTATGATATAGTGATGACATAAGGTTGTTTGCTAGTATAATAGTACAACTTCCATAGTTCATTGACAATCATATTAGTTTGTAGTAGGTTTCCATGCTACCTTCTAAGGTTTGGCATGATACAGCGATAGATTAAAGATTGTTGGTTGCTTAGCATCCAGTGGCAAATATTCCATGTATGTTTAGGACTATGATATAGTGATGACATAAGGTTGTTTGCTAGTATAATAGTAGAACTTCCATAGTTCATTGACAATCATATTAGTTTGTAGTTAGATTTCATGATACCTTCTAAGGTTTGACATGATACAGCATCCAGTGGCAAATATTCCATGTATGTTTAGGACTATGATATAGTGATGACATAAGGTTGCTTGCTAGTATAATAGTATAACTTCCATAGTTCATTGACAATCATATTCGTTTGTAGTTAGTTTCCATGCTACCTTCTAAGGTTTGACATGATATAGCGATAAATTAACGATAGTTGGTTGCTTAGCATCCAGTGGCAAATATTTCATGTATGTTTAGGACTATGATATAGTGATGACATAAGGTTGTTTGCTAGTATAATAGTACAACTTCCATAGTTCATTGACAATCATATTAGTTTGTAGTAAGTTTCCATGCTACCTTCTAAGGTTTGGCATGATACAGCGATAGATTAAAGATTGTTGGTTGCTTAGCATCCAGTGGCAAATATTTCATGTATGTTTAGGACTATGATATAGTGATGACATAAGGTTGTTTGCTAGTATAATAGTATAACTTCCATAGTTCATTGACAATCACATTAGTTTGTAGTTAATTTTCATGCTACCTTCTAAGGTTTGACATGAAACAGTGATGAATTGAAGATTTGTTGGTTGCTTAGCATCCAGTGGCAAATATTTCATGTATGTTTAGAACTATGATACATATAGTGGTGGAACAAGGATGTTTGCTAGTATAATAGTATAACTTCCATAGTTTATTGACAATCATATTAGTTGTAGTTAGTTTCCATGCTACCTTCTAAGGTTTGGCATGATACAGCGATAGATTAAAGATTGTTGGTTGCTTAGCATCCAGTGGCAAATATTTCATGTATGTTTAGGACTATGATATAGTGATGACATAAGGTTGTTTGCTAGTATAATAGTACAACTTCCATAGTTCATTGACAATCATATTAGTTTGTAGTAAGTTTCCATGCTACCTTCTAAGGTTTGGCATGATACAGCGATAGATTAAAGATTGTTGGTTGCTTAGCATCCAGTGGCAAATATTTCATGTATGTTTAGGACTATGATATAGTGATGACATAAGGTTGTTTGCTAGTATAATAGTATAACTTCCATAGTTCATTGACAATCATATTAGTTTGTAGTTAATTTTCATGCTACCTTCTAAGGTTTGACATGAAACAGTGATGAATTGAAGATTTGTAGGTTGCTTAGCATCCAGTGGCAAATATTTCATGTATGTTTAGAACTATGATACATATAGTGGTGGAACAAGGATGTTTGCTAGTATAATAGTATAACTTCCATAGTTTATTGACAATCATATTAGTTTGTAGTTAATTTTCATGCTACTTTCTAAGGTTTGACATGAAACAGTGATGAATTGAAGATTTGTTGGTTGCTTAGCATCCAGTGGCAAATATTTCATGTATGTTTAGGACTATGATATAGTGATGACATAAGGTTGTTTGCTAGTATAATAGTACAACTTCCATAGTTCATTGACAATCATATTAGTTTGTAGTTAGTTTTCATGCTAACTTCTAAGGTTTGACATGATACAGCGATGAATTGAAGATTTCTTGGTTGCTTAGCATCCAGTGACAAATATTTCATGTACGTTTATGACTATGATATAGTGATGACATAAGGTTGTTTGCAAGTATAATATTATAACTCCCATAGTTCATTGACAATCATACTAGTTTGTAGTTAGTTTCCATGCTACCTTCTGAGGTTTGACATGATACAGCGATGAATTAAAGATTTGTTGGTTGCTTAGCATCCAGTGGCAAATATTTCATGTATGTTTAGAACTATGATACATATAGTTGCGAAACAAGGTTGTTTGCTAGTATAATAGTATAACTTCCCTAGTTCATTGACAATCATATCAGTTTGTAATTATTTTCCATTTTACCTTCTTAGGTTTTACATAGTGATGAATTATTGATGACATAAGGTTGTTTGCTAGTATAATAGTATAACTTCCATGTTTCAGTCAAATATGAGTCGGTATCATTTTCATATATATATATATATATATATATATATATATATCAGTGTCTTGTATGTTTTATACATACATTTTGTTTCTGTATTATTTTATTTTTATTTTTATTCATTACTTTATAATTTCAGGTATATCTTTGTTTCGTATGTAAATAGTGATAGCTATATAGTAGATCTATGTTATTTACATAATTAGTTACATGTATATTGTATAAGATGTACAGTGTTATATACATAAAGAAAGATGTACAGTATTATATACATATAGAATTGTATACTATTACATTGTGCATATAGTATAGTGTCGTACGTAGTTTCTCGATCAGAAATACGTCGTACCATAGCATTAATAAGGATCAAAAATTCTATAATTAAATAGAACCTGATTCAACGGGTGAGATCACAACTAGTGAAATATTCACCGTATCAAATTGTTTTATAAAAAGACCATAAACCCACTTATTCATGGTATGGTATCAATATTTCTGACCTGACACTACGTACTTTTTATTGCTTAATTCTTTAGAATTTAATATGCAATGTTTCGGGTTCTTTCGGGAGTATTCCCAGGTAAACCCTCATCAGAGGCCGACCTTTAGCTATTTATTTCGTATCTAGTATCATAGATAGATGTGTGTCTGTTTCATAACAGTTTTTTATTTAATTTATTAACTACACGTGCATATAGGTCTACGTTGTAGCTAGTCTTTTTACAGACTAAAGAAACTGACCAAGTAGATCAGCACCTTTGGTTAATTATTCATATATATAATGGAAAGACTTATTGTCTTTATTCTCGTAATCTAATCTATCATAAATCTACACGAGATCTAATAGTTAGTAGTTATCAGTGCTATACTGTTGAATTCACACTAGACTGCCGTGTATGTTTTAACACCTATTTGATAATATACCAATGTCTCCATGTTTAACAATTGAAGAGGTTTGTGTAGATACCATGTCGGGTCTATGCATGAATATAACAGGAACCATTCTGTTTTCCCTTGTACGTGATCTCTTGAAATAAATCGGCATCACGTCTTTTTACATCTGTTTCACAGTATAATGATTGTATACTAAAGCCTCCCGTGGTGGGGTATTGTGAATCAATGTCTTTGGCTTAATGATTAATTGTCATGTTGCCAATATTCTTATTGTTTTTTAAACCAATATCTGGTTTGGATTTAGATAGTTTTTTTTTTTTTTGGCAATCGGATCTTTCCGAATTATATACCAAATTTTGTTATTACCGTGTTAAGATAATCAAGATATTTCTGCCACTTGTTTTCTAATATTTGGTTTCTTTCGAAGTTGCTGTCTGCATCTATGCTAACTCAGCCTAACTGTATTTGTTAGGGAGGAATCCGCAAGACATTTACACTTTAGACCGTATAATACATGTTGCTATTGATTCTAAGAATTCTCGTACCTTCAGAAGGAATGAAAACAATGTACTATTTCAAATAGTTGTTCACTTTGTTCACCTTCTTCATTAAATATATGAAACCCATCAATTCTCATTCTTTAGTGGAATTTAATATTATTTTCGTAGGGTATTTCTCTGTTTTATGTCTATAATTATGGTTAAATATAGCAATATCAGATATTTCCAGGGAGGCAACTCTGCCCATTGAAACGCCAACGATCTGTTGCTAGTATAATAGTATTACTTTCGTTATTCATTGACAATCATATTTATTTGTTATTAGTTTCCATGTAACCTTCAACGGCTTGACATACTAATTATTATCGATATTAGTTGCTTAACGTCCTGTTGCCAATATTTCATGTATGTTTAGGACTGTGATATAGTGATGACATAAGGTTGTTTGCTAGTATAATAGTATAACTTCCATAGTTCGTTGACAATCATATTAGTTGTAGTTAGTTTCCATGCTACCTTCTAAGGTTTGACATGATACAGCGATAAATTAACGATTTTTGGTTGCTTAGCATTCAGTGGCAAATATTTCATGTATGTTAAGGAATATGATATAGTGATGACATAAGGTTGTTTGCTAGTATAATAGTATAACTTCCATAGTTCATTGACAATCATATTAATTTGTAGTTAGTTTCCATGCTACCTTGTAAGGTTTGACATGATATAGCGATAGATTAAAGATTGTTGGTTGCTAAGCATCTAGTGGCAAATATTTCATGTATGTTTAGGACTATGATATAGTGATGACATAAGGTTGTTTGCTAGTATAATAGTACAATTTCCATAGTTCATTGACAATCATATTAGTTTGTAGTAAGTTTCCATGCTACCTTCTAAGGTTTGGCATGATACAGCGATAGATTAAAGATTGTTGGTTGCTTAGCCTCCAGTGGCAAATATTTCATGTATGTTGAGGACTATGATACAGTGATGACATAAGGTTGTTTGCTAGTATAATAGTATAACTTCCATAGTTCATTGACAATCATATTAGTTTGTAGTTAGTTTCCATGCTACCTTCTAAGGTTTGACACGATACAGCGATGAATTATTGATTGTGGTTACTTAAAGTCCAGTGACAAATATTTCATGTATGTTTTAGACGATGATATATATAGTGATAACATAAGGTTGTTTGCTAGTATAATAGTATAACTTCCATAGTTCATTGACAATCATATTAGTTTGTAGTTAGTTTTCATGATACCTTCTAAGGTTTGACATGATATAGCATCCAGTGGCAAATATACCATGTATGTTTAGGACTATGATATAGTGATGACATAAGGTTGCTTGCTAGTATAATAGTATAACTTCCATAGTTCATTGACAATCATATTAGTTTGTAGTTAGTTTTCATGATACCTTCTAAGGTTTGACATGATACAGCGATAAATTAAAGTTTGTTGGTTGCTTAGCATCCAGTGGCAAATATTTCATGTACGTTTAGAACTATGATACATATAGTGGTGGAACAAGGATGTTTGCTAGTATAATAGTATAACTTCCATAGTTCATTGACAATCATATTAGTTTGTAGTTAGTTTCCATGCTACCTTCTAAGGTTTGACATGATATAGCGATAAATTAACGATTGTTGGTTGCTAAGCATCCAGTGGCAAATATTTCATGTATGTTTAGGACTATGATATAGTGATGACATAAGGTTGTTTGCTAGTATAATAGTATAACTTCCATAGATCATTGACAATCATATTAGTTTGTAGTTAGTTGTCATGATACCTTCTAAGGTTTGACATGATACAGCGATAAATTAAAGTTTGTTGGTTGCTTAGCATCCAGTGGCAAATATTTCATGTACGTTTAGAACTATGATACATATAGTGGTGAAACAAGGTTGTTTGCTAGTATAATAGTATAACTTCCATAGTTCATTGACAATCATATTATTGTAATTAGTTTCCATGCTACCTTCTGAGGTTTGACATGAAACAGCGATGAACTAAAGATTTGTTGGTTGCTTAGCATCCAGTGGCAAATATTTCATGTATGTTTAGGACTATGATATAGTGATGACATGAGGTTGTTTGCTAGTATAAAAGTATAACTTCCATTGTTCATTGACAATCATATTAGTTTGTAGTTAGTTTTCATGCTACCTTCTAAGGTTTGACATGATACAGCGATGAATTGAAGATTTGTTGGTTGCTTAGCATCCAGTGGCAAATATTTCATGTATGTTTAGGACTATGATATAGTGATGACATAAGGTTGTTTGCTAGTATAATAGTATAACTTCCATAGTTCATTGACAATCAAATTAGTTTGTAGTTAGTTTCCATGCTACCTTCTGAGGTTTGACATGATTCAGCGATGGATCAAAGATTTGTTGGTTGCTTAGCATCCAGTGGCAAATATTTCATGTATGTTTAGAACTATGATACATATAGTGGTGAAACAAGGTTGTTTGCTAGTATAATAGTATAACTTCCATAGTTCATTGACAATCATATTAGTTTGTAGTTAGTTTACATGCTACCTTCTAAGGTTTGACACGATACAGCGATGAATTATTGATTGTGGTTACTTAAAGTCCAGTAACAAATATTTCATGTATGTTTTAGACGATGATATATATAGTGATAACATAAGGTTGTTTGCTAGTATAATAGTATAACTTCCCTTAGCTAGTTCATTTACAATCATATCAGTTTGTAATTATTTTCCATGTTACCTTCTTAGGTTTAACATAGTGATGAATTATTGATTGTTGATTGCTATACGTCCAATTGCAAATATTTCAAGTATGTTTAAGGACTATGTTGACATAAGGTTGTTTGCTAGTATTATAGTATAACTTCCATGTTTCAGTCAAATATGATTCGGTATCATTTTCCAATATATATATATATATATATATATATATATATATATATATATATCAGTGTCTTGTATGTTATATGCATACATTTTGTTTCTGTATTATTTTATTTTATTTTTATTCATTACTTTATTGTTTCAGGTATATCTTTGTTTCATATGTAAATAGTGATAGCTATATAGTAGATCTATGTTATTTACATAATTAGTTACATGTATATTGTATAAGATGTACAGTGTTATATACATACAGAAAGATGTACAGTATTATATACATATAGAATTGTATACTATTACATTGTGCATATAGTATAGTGTCGTACGTAGTTTCTCGATCAGAAATACGTCGTACCATAGCATAAATAAGGATCAAAAATTCTATAATTAAATAGAACCTGATTCAACGGGTGAGATCACAATTAACTAGTGAAATATTCACCGTATCAAATTGTTTTATAAAAAGACCATAAACCCACTTATTCATGGTATGGTATCAATATTTCTGACCTGACACTACGTACTTTTTATTGCTTAATTCTTTAGAATTTAATATGCAATGTTTCGGGTTCTTTCGGGAATAATCCCAGGTAAACCCTCATCAGAGGTCGACCTTTATATATTTATTTTATATCTAGTATTGTAGATAGATATGTGTCTGTTTCATAACAGTTTTTTTCAAATTTACTACACGTGCATATAGGTCTACGTTGTAGCTAGTCTTTTTACAGACTAAAGAAACTGACCAAGTAGATCAGCACCTTTGGTTAATTATTCATATATATAATGAAAAGACTTATTGTCTTTATTCTCGTAATCTAATCTATCATAAATCTACACGAGATCTAATAGTTAGTAGTTATCAGTGCTATACTGTTGAATTTACACTAGACTGTCGTGTATGTTTTAACACCTATTTGATAATATACAAATGTCTCCATGTTTAACAATTGAAGAGGTTTGTGTAGATACCATGTCGGTTCTATGCATGAATATAACAGGAACCATTCAGTTTTCCCTTGTACGTGATCTCTTGAAATAAATCGGCATCACGTCTTTTTACATCTGTTTCACAGTATAATGATTGTATACTAAAGCCTCCCGTGGTGGGGTATTGTGAATCAATGTCTTCGGCTTAATGATTAATTATCATGTTGCCAATATTCTTATTGTTTTTTAAACCAATATCAGGTTTGGATTTAGATAGTTTTTTTATTTATTATTTTGGCAATCGGATCTTTCCGAATTATATACCAAATTTTGTTATTACCGTGTTAAGATATTCAAGATATTTCTGCCACTTGTTTTCTAATATTTGGTTTCTTTCGAAGTTGCTGTCTGCATCTATGCTAACTTAGCCTAACTGTTTTGTTAGGGAGAAATCTGCAAGACATTTGCACTTTAGACCGTATTTAAAAGATTATCTTATAAATACATGTTGCTATTGTTTCTAAGAATTCTCGTACCTTCAGAAGGAATGAAAACAATGTACTATTTCAAATAATTGTTCACTTTGTTCACCTTCTTCATTAAATATATTAAATCCATCAATTCTCATTCTTTAGTGGAATTTAATATTATTTTCGTAGGATATTTCTCTGTTTTATGTCTATAATTATGGTTAAATATAGCAATATCAGATATTTCCAGGGAGGCAACTCTGCCCATTGAAACGCCAACGATCTGTTGCTAGTACAACAGTATAACTTTCGTTGTTCATTGACAATGATATTTATTTGTTATTAGTTTCCATGTAACCTTCAACGGCTTGACATAATAATTATTATCGATATTAGTTGCTTAACGTCCTGTTGCCAATATTTCATGTATGTTTAGGACTGTGATATAGTGATGACATAAGGTTGTTTACTAGTATAATAGTATAACTTCCATAGGTCGTTGACAATCATATTAGTTGTAGTTAGTTTCCATGCTACCTTCTAAGGTTTGACATGATACAGCGATAAATTAACGATTTTTGGTTGCTTAGCATCCAGTGGCAAATATTTCATGTATGTTTAGGACTATGATATAGTGATGACATAAGGTTGTTTGCTAGTATAATAGTACAACTTCCATAGTTCATTGACAATCATATTAGTTTGTAGTAGGTTTCCATGCTACCTTCTAAGGTTTGGCATGATACAGCGATAGATTAAAGATTGTTGGTTGCTTAGCATCCAGTGGCAAATATTCCATGTATGTTTAGGACTATGATATAGTGATGACATAAGGTTGTTTGCTAGTATAATAGTATAACTTCCATAGTTCATTGACAATCATATTAGTTTGTAGTTAGTTTTCATGATACCTTCTAAGGTTTGACATGATACAGCATCCAGTGGCAAATATTCCACGTATGTTTAGGACTATGATATAGTGATGACATAAGGTTGCTTGCTAGTATAATAGTATAACTTCCATAGTTCATTGACAATCATATTCGTTTGTAGTTAGTTTCCATGTTACCTTCTAAGGTTTGACATGAAACAGTGATGAATTGAAGATTTGTTGGTTGCTTAGCATCCAGTGGCAAATATTTCATGTATGTTTAGAACTATGATACATATAGTGGTGGAACAAGGATGTTTGCTAGTATAATAGTATAACTTCCATAGTTTATTGACAATCATATTAGTTGTAGTTAGTTTCCATGCTACCTTCTAAGGTTTGGCATGATACAGCGATAAATTAACGATTGTTGATTGCTTAGCATCCAGTGGCAAATATTTCATGTATGTTTAGGACTATGATATAGTGATGACATAAGGTTGTTTGCTAGTATAATAGTACAACTTCCATAGTTCATTGACAATCATATTAGTTTGTAGTAAGTTTCCATGCTACCTTCTAAGGTTTGGCATGATACAGCGATAGATTAAAGATTGTTGGTTGCTTAGCATCCAGTGGCAAATATTTCATGTATGTTTAGGACTATGATATAGTGATGACATAAGGTTGTTTGCTAGTATAATAGTATAACTTCCATAGTTCATTGACAATCACATTAGTTTGTAGTTAATTTTCATGCTACCTTCTAAGGTTCGACATGAAACAGTGATGAATTGAAGATTTGTTGGTTGCTTAGCATCCAGTGGCAAATATTTCATGTATGTTTAGAACTATGATACATATAGTGGTGGAACAAGGATGTTTGCTAGTATAATAGTATAACTTCCATAGTTTATTGACAATCATATTAGTTGTAGTTAGTTTCCATGCTACCTTCTAAGGTTTGGCATGATACAGCGATAGATTAAAGATTGTTGGTTGCTTAGCATCCAGTGGCAAATATTTCATGTATGTTTAGGACTATGATATAGTGATGACATAAGGTTGTTCGCTAGTATAATAGTACAACTTCCATAGTTCATTGACAATCATATTAGTTTGTAGTAAGTTTCCATGCTACCTTCTAAGGTTTGGCATGATACAGCGATAGATTAAAGATTGTTGGTTGCTTAGCATCCAGTGGCAAATATGTCATGTATGTTTAGGACTATGATATAGTGATGACATAAGGTTGTTTGCTAGTATAATAGTATAACTTCCATAGTTCATTGACAATCATATTAGTTTGTAGTTAATTTTAATGCTACCTTCTAAGGTTTGACATGAAACAGTGATGAATTGAAGATTTGTTGGTTGCTTAGCATCCAGTGGCAAATATTTCATGTATGTTTAGAACTATGATACATATAGTGGTGGAACAAGGATGTTTGCTAGTATAATAGTATAACTTCCATAGTTTATTGACAATCATATTAGTTTGTAGTTAATTTTCATGCTACCTTCTAAGGTTTGACATGAAACAGTGATGAATTGAAGATTTGTTGGTTGCTTAGCATCCAGTGGCAAATATTTCATGTATGTTTAGGACTATGATATAGTGATGACATAAGGTTGTTTGCTAGTATAATAGTACAACTTCCATAGTTCATTGACAATCATATTAGTTTGTAGTTAGTTTTCATGCTACCTTCTAAGGTTTGACATGATACAGCGATGAATTGAAGATTTCTTGGTTGCTTAGCATCCAGTGACAAATATTTCATGTACGTTTATGAATATGATATAGTGATGACATAAGGTTGTTTGCAAGTATAATATTATAACTTCCATAGTTCATTGACAATCATACTAGTTTGTAGTTAGTTTCCATGCTACCTTCTGAGGTTTGACATGATACAGCGATGAATTAAAGATTTGTTGGTTGCTTAGCATCCAGTGGCAAATATTTCATGTATGTTTAGAACTATGATACATATAGTTGCGAAACAAGGTTGTTTGCTAGTATAATAGTATAACTTCCCTAGTTCATTGACAATCATATCAGTTTGTAATTATTTTCCATTTTACCTTCTTAGGTTTTACATAGTGATGAATTATTGATGACATAAGGTTGTTTGCTAGTATAATAGTATAACTTCCATGTTTCAGTCAAATATGAGTCGGTATCATTTTCATATATATATATCAGTGTCTTGTATGTTATATACATACATTTTGTTTCTGTATTATTTTATTTTTATTTTTATTCATTACTTTATAATTTCAGGTATATCTTTGTTTCGTATGTAAATAGTGATAGCTATATAGTAGATCTATGTTATTTACATAATTAGTTACATGTATATTGTATAAGATGTACAGTGTTATATACATAAAGAAAGATGTACAGTATTATATACATATAGAATTGTATACTATTACATTGTGCATATAGTATAGTGTCGTACGTAGTTTCTCGATCAGAAATACGTCGTACCATAGCATTAATAAGGATCAAAAATTCTATAATTAAATAGAACCTGATTCAACGGGTGAGATCACAACTAGTGAAATATTCACCGTATCAAATTGTTTTATAAAAAGACCATAAACCCACTTATTCATGGTATGGTATCAATATTTCTGACCTGACACTACGTACTTTTTATTGCTTAATTCTTAAGAATTTAATATGCAATGATTCGGGTTCTTTCGGGAGTATTCCCAGGTAAACCCTCATCAGAGGCCGACCTTTAGCTATTTATTTCGTATCTAGTATCATAGATAGATGTGTGTCTGTTTCATAACAGTTTTTTATTTAATTTATTAACTACACGTGCATATAGGTCTACGTTGTAGCTAGTCTTTTTACAGACTAAAGAAACTGACCAAGTAGATCAGCACCTTTGGTTAATTATTCATATATATAATGGAAAGACTTATTGTCTTTATTCTCGTAATCTAATCTATCATAAATCTACACGAGATCTAATAGTTAGTAGTTATCAGTGCTATACTGTTGAATTCACACTAGACTGCCGTGTATGTTTTAACACCTATTTGATAATATACCAATGTCTCCATGTTTAACAATTGAAGAGGTTTGTGTAGATACCATGTCGGTTCTATGCATGAATATAACAGGAACCATTCTGTTTTCCCTTGTACGTGATCTCTTGAAATAAATCGGCATCACGTCTTTTTACATCTGTTTCACAGTATAATGATTGTATACTAAAGCCTCCCGTGGTGGGGTATTGTGAATCAATGTCTTGGGCTTAATGATTAATTGTCATGTTGCCAATATTCTTATTGTTTTTTAAACCAATATCTGGTTTGGATTTAGATAGTTTTTTTTTTTTTTTGGCAATCGGATCTTTCCGAATTATATACCAAATTTTGTTATTACCGTGTTAAGATATTCAAGATATTTCTGCCACTTGTTTTCTAATATTTGGTTTCTTTCGAAGTTGCTGTCTGCATCTATGCTAACTCAGCCTAACTGTATTTGTTAGGGAGGAATCCGCAAGACATTTACACTTTAGACCATATTTATACGTTTATCTTATAAGTACATGTTGCTATTGATTCTAAGAATTCTCGTACCTTCAGAAGGAATGAAAACAATGTACTATTTCAAATAGTTGTTCACTTTGTTCACCTTCTTCATTAAATATATTAAATCCATCAATTCTCATTCTTTAGTGGAATTTAATATTATTTTCGTAGGGTATTTCTCTGTTTTATGTCTATAATTATGGTTAAATATAGCAATATCAGATATTTCCAGGGAGGCAACTTTGCCCATTGAAACGCCAACGATCTGTTGCTAGTATAATAGTATTACTTTCGTTATTCATTGACAATCATATTTATTTGTTATTAGTTTCCATGTAACCTTCAACGGCTTGACATAATAATTATTATCGATATTAGTTGCTTAACGTCCTGTTGCCAATATTTCATGTATGTTTAGGACTGTGATATAGTGATGACATAAGGTTGTTTGCTAGTATAATAGTATAACTTCCATAGTTCGTTGACAATCATATTAGTTGTAGTTAGTTTCCATGCTACCTTCTAAGGTTTGACATGATACAGCGATAAATTAACGATTTTTGGTTGCTTAGCATCCAGTGGCAAATATTTCATGTATGTTAAGGAATATGATATAGTGATGACATAAGGTTGTTTGCTAGTATAATAGTATAACTTCCATAGTTCATTGACAATCATATTAATTTGTAGTTAGTTTCCATGCTACCTTGTAAGGTTTGACATGATATAGCGATAAATTAAAGATTTTTAGTTGCTAAGCATCTAGTGGCAAATATTTCATGTATGTTTAGGACTATGATATAGTGATGACATAAGGTTGTTTGCTAGTATAATAGTACAATTTCCATAGTTCATTGACAATCATATTAGTTTGTAGTAAGTTTCCATGCTACCTTCTAAGGTTTGGCATGATACAGCGATAGATTAAAGATTGTTGGTTGCTTAGCCTCCAGTGGCAAATATTTCATGTATGTTGAGGACTATGATACAGTGATGACATAAGGTTGTTTGCTAGTATAATAGTATAACTTCCATAGTTCATTGACAATCATATTAGTTTGTAGTTAGTTTCCATGCTACCTTCTAAGGTTTGACACGATACAGCGATGAATTATTGATTGCTGTTACTTAAAGTCCAGTGACAAATATTTCATGTATGTTTTAGACGATGATATATATAGTGATAACATAAGGTTGTTTGCTAGTATAATAGTATAACTTCCATAGTTCATTGACAATCATATTAGTTTGTAGTTAGTTTTCATGATACCTTCTAAGGTTTGACATGATATAGCATCCAGTGGCAAATATACCATGTATGTTTAGGACTATGATATAGTGATGACATAAGGTTGCTTGCTAGTATAATAGTATAACTTCCATAGTTCATTGACAATCATATTAGTTTGTAGTTAGTTTTCATGATACCTTCTAAGGTTTGACATGATACAGCGATAAATTAAAGTTTGTTGGTTGCTTAGCATCCAGTGGCAAATATTTCATGTACGTTTAGAACTATGATACATATAGTGGTGAAACAAGGATGTTTGCTAGTATAATAGTATAACTTCCATAGTTCATTGACAATCATATTAGTTTGTAGTTAGTTTCCATGCTACCTTCTAAGGTTTGACATGATATAGCGATAAATTAACGATTGTTGGTTGCTTAGCATCCAGTGGCAAATATTTCATGTATGTTTAGGACTATGATATAGTGATGACATAAGGTTGTTTGCTAGTATAATAGTATAACTTCCATAGATCATTGACAATCATATTAGTTTGTAGTTAGTTTTCATGATACCTTCTAAGGTTTGACATGATACAGCGATAAATTAAATTGTTTTATTTTGTTTTATAATTGTTTTATAAAAAGACCATAAACCCACTAGGTTTCTGTCTATTCGAAATAACATAAAAAATGTGGTGCACACTGAATAACCCGCGTAGCGTGTTATTTTAAAGTATGCACCACATTTTTTATGTTATTTCGAATAGACAGAAAAAATATTACAGTCATTTCTTATAATTTAATCCTAATTCCGTTTTAAACCGGAGTAAATCATGAAAAAACGTTGATGACGTCAAGGTCACATGACAAAATTATGTCTATGAGCTGATAAACAAAACAACGTCAGCCAATCGGAAGACGCGTTACATCAAAAATTAAATTATTGTATTTTCTATTTAGTTTACTATTTATACAACTCACAATGCATGACTATATGACTGATGGAAAATGCAGAATTTTTAGGGTATAAATTCAATACTGATTTTCTGTATTATCTTTTTGTAGGACGACCAAGAACTACGAAGTCAAGTATTGATGAAAACATGAATAAAAGAATAAAACTTTTAAAACAAAATTGTCAGCGACTAAAGAACACTAAAGATTCCAGTCCAATATTTTCACGTGGGATACCAGTAGCTAATACAATGAGCACGCATCATATATGCAAAGTTCCAAAATGTGGATCAACTTTCTGGACTGAAGTTTTTCTGACATTAAATAACGTGACGCATGTGGACAATTTGGGGAACCTAACCAGAGATATGATTCATGTTGAGTTACAAGAAAAAATAGTTTCAAGGAATTTAAACGCAAGATCGTCAGACACATTGTTAATTATTTCACGAGATCCATGGAAAAGGGTATATTCTGCGTATATGGATAAAATATATCAACTTCAAACAGCGTATAGAGACCAAATTAAACAAATGGTTGGTAAGCGCCGTGGATATTGCGGAGAAGTTCCAACTTTTGAACAATTTTTAAAGTACATTGTTGATCAATCTAAATACAATCTACTCGATCCACATTGGAGACCTATAAGCTCACTTTGTAGAGTTTGTAGATACTCATATAAATATATAATGAAAATGGAATCATTTGAAGAAGATTCAGCGTACGTCTTAAACAAAATCTTACCTAAGAATTCGGACAAAAAGAAAGCGTTATTTTCAAAGCTAACCGATAAACAAGATTATTTGAAAGGATTAGTTAGAATGTTTACATCACGGTTTCTAGCAATGAAGGACAACTGTCTTAGTTTCATCGACACGATGAAGAGACTTTGGTATTTGTTACAATCTCAAGGGTTACTAAGTGACCGAGTGAATTTCTCCGCAAGCTTGTTTTTACAGTTGTCTGCAGTTAATGAAAAAGAAATAACTGAATTGTTTGTTATGAAAAGTAAAGAAATGATACTTTCAAACGCAGAAGAGCAGCAACAAAGAAACCGACATTTTAGAGAAGCGTATGCCTCAGTAGATGTCAACGTTTTACTCAACATACAAAAAGTGTATGAACACGACTTTAGACTGTTTGGTTACAACATGCACCTAACGTTGGATTAATGTCAAAGTTGTAGACTTTTGAGAAATTATTTTCCTTACTTTATTTATGTATTTGAAAATACAGGAAGAACCTTGATCATTCAATGATGATTTCAATTGAATAATTCATAGGTATCGAATGTTTTTATGTTTTTTTTGTGGTTTTTTATGCCTCTGATGTACATGAATTGATCCATGCCCGGACTATTGTTACAGCTATTAAAGGTATCATATTGTTTTAAAAATCTCCACAAGAACTTCCATAATGTATTTTGTTAAATAAAAGAGGCAGATGGAATAAGGGCTACAACTGGAACCACAAATTGTGAAAAAAAACCACTAGCAATCTCAATCACAAAATATTTATTAGATTTACAATAACTGGTTTTATATCAAAGCCAATTTTATTACTGTGTTATTTATTAATTGATAGTTAGTGCTGTAATGCCACTTTCGGCACTATATAGGCTATTTCGTGGCCAATCTTTATTGGCGGAGGAAGCCGGAGTCGAACGCACCTGCCACGACTAACAAACAATCTCACTGTTGAAAATCTAATGGTGCAGGAGTTTAATTACTTAGAAAACTCGGCCCCGAGGCCACTACCACTACTGGTATAAGCCAGTGACATAGTATATACCGATTTCAATAAGATATACCCTTAATGTCAGTGAGATGACTGCAACTTACAAATAATATATTCAATATGAAACAAGAATTTGCAAGTTCAGATTAAATAGTTTCTGCATCACCACCTACCCTATATTTTCATGCCTACCCTAGCATACATATTGACATTTTTGGTTCGTCACCGTTGAAGTCCAGAGATTTCTCTATTTTTTTTACCTACTTATTTTTCTGCCTGGTGGTAGAAAACAATATATATGTGATTGCCTTTGCGAGAAAAACTTCACTTACACTCAATTATATTTTTGTATTATTATTTTTACAACTTTATTGTATTTCAATTCCAAGACACAGATACACGTTCCGATGGAGTTTCAAAACTATCTTCTATGACTTTGGTGCAAATACACAAATTGACCAAAAGAATGAAATTAGTAAAAATATGCGACAGAAATATCTTTTAAAAGGCCACAAATATACCCGTCTAAATTCCATTTAATTGATAATTTCAGCTACACTTACCGTTATCTTGATGCTATTTTTTCGTTAAATAATTTATTATTTAAGAGTTCTCTAAATATATTGCCTAAATTTTACCAAAAGAACTTACTTTAAATAAATCAAATATTAACATATAATCTATGTAATACTGGTAAATTATTAAGTCAGGGATTTCGTTACCACAAATTACTTAAAACCTTTAAAAAATTCTCCCATAGATACAAAGATTGGGGTTGGAAGTTTGGCTGTTCCTGTAGAAAACGTATTTCAAACGTAATAGCACATCCTTATTTTTACGGTGATGTTGTTTACCGAGCCCGGAAATTTATATACGATCCGGATAAACTTACCAATCCTTTAAATAAACTTATTTTTGAAAGATTACCAATTCAACACTGTAATTAGATCTTTGAATACTGTTTTTATTGGTATAAATATTGAATTTAAACCATACTTAATATTATTGTTATACACATATTCACTTTCACGGTACTACAATCTGTCGATACCTATATTTTGGCATTAACACAAGGTCATGTTTTTCTCTGACTGTTAATGACGCTTCACACTAAATCCATCTGATGTTGGCTGTGTACTAATTGATATTTTAGTCTTAGATACATGATTTTTGTATTAGTTGTTTTTGGCATTGAACTAGCTGTCAGTAGATGCGAGTTTTCTCAGATCTGTACTTTTAGTCGTTTTTGTTGTGAGGGATGTATAAATACCCTGCCACGTCCGGTCTGTGTTTTTGTTAGTTTTTTTTTCTGCTTTGTATCGATCTGATGAGTTAAGCCCTTTTTAACTGATGTTTATAGTTTGTTCTTATGTTGTACTGTTAGACCACTGTCCCAGGTTGGCGCCTTCAAACATGTTTATTCCCGCCACAGTCTTTATGTGCCTGTTCCAAGTCAGGAGCCTGTAGTTCAGTGCTTGTCGTTGGTTCATGTCTGTCTTATTTGTTTTTCGTAAATTGTTTTGTTATAAATTAGGCCGTTAATTTTCTCAATTGAATTGTTTCATATTTTCCAAATGGTGTCTTTTATAGTCGACTATACTGTATGGGTGTTCTCATTGATGAAAGCCGTACGGTTGCCTATAATTGCTTGCATCCACTTCAATTGAACTTTGGTGGGAACTTGTCTCGTTGGCAATCATACCACATCTCCGCATCTTTATAATGAAAAAGTGTAGCACCTATTGAAGAGTGGGGTGTGGTTGATAGGCCTTCTTTTCAATAATAAAAGTCTGGTCATTCTTTTTTGTCTTTCTTTAAATAATACAGATTAGGAAAGGAATTATATATCTTTACATCACAAAAACATGAATAGTGCAATGTAAAGACGGCAAACTAAATCAGACAAGGAAGGTTCTACATACTCATAAATCAGAATAAACCGACACCTCTTGGAACGTATTTAATAAAAACAATTATAGGACATAACTGGACAAATTCTCAATGGTATAAAAATTATGAATTGAGTATCTTCGGATATTTCTCGAGACCTTTCTGAATAGTCAAAATATACCTATCCCCGCCTTTGTACTTTCAAAATATTTTAAAACTCCAGCTTTTTTGTTACAAGCCCCATATTTATCTTTTACAAAGACTGCTCTCTTTGATAATGACGCAATAAAGCATTGACGTCATAACAATTTCCTCTATTTTACAAAGTTAACGTAGCGACAAATTAAAACAAATGGGCGGAAGGTGTTCTTTTATCGCAGCAGCCGAAGACAAATAACCGATAAAAGTATGTACATTCATTATTAGCAGACTTATATACATGAGCAAAAAGATCGATTTTTTTAACGATTCAAAACTTTTGAAATCCTTTGACTTAAAGTAGTCCAGAAATATTTTATCTAACCAATATTTATTCACCGCGTGTAAGAACAATTGAAAATCGAATTCGTGTCCCACAATATAATATTTGAAAATAATAAATGCTAAGATATTGGATTATATTCTGTAAAAACTAATAAAACATATATTTGTCTATATGTAATAGTTCAAATATACACCAGTTTAAACATTTGTGGAGGATAAAACTTATCATTTAATATTATACTGTAGGTAAATTTTAATATTATAATTGCACAGTACATATTATTATTCAAGTCAACGAAAATAGTTAGAATGTAATAGTTAGTATTTCAAAGAGGTAGGACCATTTTTCATGTATTTTTGTTCATTATACTAGAGACATTTTTATCGCTTTCAAACCTTTTTTTAAATGAAAAACGACTAAAACATTATATAAGAAAAAATGAAAGATTGAAGTTATCATAAACCGATTGAAAGTAAAAATAGAAAAATTCTAATGAAAAACGAAAGGCGACATAACCAACCAATTTTTTTTCTTATATGTATGACAGTTATTTATTTTCAAAATGCTTTAAAAAAATCAACAATAAATTAATGCAAAATATGTAACAGTCGCCTTAAAAATTGACATTAGCTAAATTGTCAAATCAAAAATTGTGTTATAGGTCTTCATGAAAGCGTACAATGAATCACTAATAAAAACGGACGTCAGTTCTACCTCATTTTATTGTTCTTTTATTGTGATTAAGTTTTTGTTCTTTTAATACTTTCTGTAAAATGAATAAGATTGAATACATAATCTGATAAGGTGTTTCTTTTTCTTTATATTGTGTTGATTTTTTTTATGCTGCCAAAGCAAAAACAGCCACCAGGAAAAAGGTGTATTGTGTAATTATTGCATTCAGCACCTATCGAAAACCGGGTGAAAAATGTTTTTAACGTTATCATCAAATCTTCATACTCATGATATTTGTTTACACATGTGATATAACACCAGGGGTCGACTAGGGTGACGAAATATGGCCATCCTTGTACCTCTCCAATCTGGCTGTAAAACCAATGCTAAAGTAGAGTAGCGTCGAATTGGCGTGCGGGAGGTATGAATACATAGCTTCTTTCGGAATAATGACGTTAAATCGAATGACGATGCTCTCTTCACGTTAAATAAACCTTGCAAAATCTTATTAAGGGTCCATTGGTGACATTTAAAAGACAAAATTTCTGCACCTATCAAATATACCCTCATTTTGAGTGGCAGTCAAAATACCCTCTTCTCTACCCGGTCAACCTACTTTACCTTGATAATGAATTTATTTTTAATTTGTTTTAGTTGTATTCCCTGGAACAGTCGGGTCAAACGTTATCAACAAAAACAATTTGTGAATATTATGTTAAGCTGTGTTCTATATAACATTGTTTGTCGTGTGGTATATGCGTTGTACAACGTGAGATGTCACCGTCGACGTATCAAGCCCCTTTGTTAGATTGTGGTAGAAATTCCTTGCAACTTATCACCCATCTAGTTATTGCAATGGTACAGAGACAATGGTACAATGTTGTGCAGAGAGCATGGGTTGATAAGGATGGAGGATGATAAGTTGACTGCCCTGAAAAATGAGAGTATATTGGACAGGAGGCAGTCATTTTGCTTTCAACATGCCACCTACGGACCCCTCAAAGATTGTTGCCTGAGGTCTTTAAAATGCCGAGAGCAAGACACTTTTTCTAATTCCGACCAGATGCAGATGCGTTTATATACATCCCAAACAGGCAAACGGGAGCCCGTCTTTAGCAAGGGTTTAATGCCGTTGTTGCGAAGTCCAAGTGATGCCACTATTTTTATACCCCAGAGAACCTATCTGTTAGATGAACATGATTGAAACTAAATGAATCTTCACCAATGTTTGATGAAGCAGATCCATGCTTGCTTATTGTCAAGTTTTGAAGAAACAAATATATCTCTTTTTTTATACCCTTTCAAGTAAAAGCCAGGGGCTCTTTTCACAAAAAATCTGACGACTAAACTTGATCGTAAATTATACTGAAATGTTCATGACTTAAGAGTATTTTTTCTCGTGAGATTTGCTTTAAAATGAGTCGCTGAGTTATTTCAAGATCCAATATTATCTACGTATCCAGGATACATTTAAATGCGAACTTTCATACTTATGTATCGTTTATATTTATTTCCATTGTATCACAGTCTTATACCTCATGAAACGTTATGCTATGATATTTCTTTACGATAATAGGAAATTTAATGCACAAATTGTGAAAACCATTAAAGGATTAACGCAGGTTTGACTTACAAACACCTTTAAAGGAAATTTGATATGTACCTTTGACAATTGTAACCAAATAGAAAACAAATACATTTCACCCGTTTAATTTCTAAAAGAATTGAATAAAAGATTGTTATATACCGTTACCTAATTAAAATTTATATATTTTCATTTTTTTTATAGATTGTATTTGATGATTAATTGGATAAACAAAGTCTAAAATCTTACCAAACAAGTAAGTTATTATAGATTTATTAACAAAAGAGTTGTTTTAAGTCACTTTTTGAATCTTGAGAATGCCAAATATTAAATTAATTTTAAAATTAACTTTATACTGTTATCTTTTCAAAAGATATACCAAAATAGATCTTGTCTAAGATTAAACATGTCAAATATGTTTCACTGAACAATTAATTGACATGTCAATGTACAATGATATATATTTCTTCAATTGTTAAAGTTTAAATATATCCACAAATATTAAAGTGACAATTTTATTAAATAAAAAATAAATAAATATCATATTTTCTAAACTAAGACAAGATTATTGTTTACTTCAAACTGTGTATAGCTGTGTCAATATATAACACAAAGAACTGATCAAAATATTGTAAAAGTATGCATGCATATTTGGTATCCTTCCTGGTAACGTCCCACAAAACCAATAAACCGATTGATGGGAAATATATTTAGTGTGAAATGGATAAACTGAAAGATTTCACATGTGCAAAGGTGTCATCTTAATACATCTTGAAATTTTTTAGCTTTAAAATTGAATTTTCATTTATGAAATGCAGCAGTTGGCAAGTATTTTGATACTGGCATGACCTAAATGATTCATTCTTATGGTTATATTTAAAGTTTATAAATCATTTAACTATACTTAAACTAAATTTGCAATTCCCTCGAGCAAAGTATAGCGTATACTGTTTTATTATTCTCTTTCGCGCTTTTTTTTATTAATGTAATTCAAAAGTTTTTGTTTTAGCTTCTTAAACTTCTGGTCTCCTTGGTTTTAGATTTTTAAACTTCCAAATCTTCTGGTATCATTGGTTTATGTTTAGGATTTCCAAACTTCTGGTCTACTTGGTTTATGTTTAGGATTTCCAAACTTCTGGTCTACTTGGTTTATGTTTTAGATTTCCAAACTTCTGGTCTACTTGGTTTATGTTTTAGCTTACCAAACTTCTGGTCTACTTGGTTTATGTTTTAGCTTACCAAACTTCTGGTCTACTTGGTTTATGTTTTAGATTACCAAACTTCTGGTCTACTTGGTTTATGTTTTAGATTACCAAACTTCTGGTCTACTTGGTTTATGTTTTAGATTACCAAACTTCTGGTCTACTTGGTTTATGTCTTAGATTTCCAAACTTCTGGTCTACTTGGTTTATGTCTTAGATTTCCAAACTTCTGGTCTACTTGGTTTATGTTTTAGATTTCCAAACTTCTGGACTACTTGGTTTATGTTTTAGATTTCCAAACTTCTGGTCTACTTGGTTTATGTTTTAGATTTCCAAACTTCTGGTCTACTTGGTTTATGTTTTAGCTTTAGACTAATTTAATGACAAATAACTTTTTGAGTCAATCATCTACGTGGACAAGTTAAGAAATCGGTACTTTACTGTTAGCTAGACCTTGGTCGACCATCACTGATGACCACGTTTATATATAAAAATGCCATCCTTCTCGATCTTGCTCATGGTTAACCATTATAGGTATCATTCCATTACCATTATTCTCGCTTTATAAAAACAAACTGTCCTGAACTATTTCAGTGAACTCGATGCCGCTTGGTTATTTGTTAGAAAATGGCTAAGCATTTCGGTGATTTACTCCTAAAACATTAACATATTGTATCCAGAATTGATTGAGAGATCGTCCACTTACGTTTTGGCCATGATCTTGTCTTTAAATCACTTTTTCTGAATATATAAAATGATAAATTAAAAAAAAATTAGAATTTTTTTTTTTATAAATGCAAATCAAGATTTATGATGAAAATATTGAAAACAAATGCCATGTAAGCTTATAAAACATTTTGGCAATTAAAAACTGTTTAAAATAAAAAAAAAAAAACCTGAATACTAATGTGTAATATTTCATCCCTAAAAAAATCATAAAAATATGATACCAATTTCAGGTCTCTAGACACTTGTGACGGGTACGCTCGAGACAAAAAGTCAGTGATTGCAAATATATGAAGCGGGCAGCGGTGGTCAATTAGTCTTTACAGTACAATCAAAACTGTCTAAAATGAACTTTGCCGGTATAAAACATGCACAATGGTTTGCGATAATTTCATTTAATATTGCATATTTATCTATTGCTGCTAAATGAAAACATGGCAAACACATGCTAGCACAACATACAAGACATATCTTTAATGTCACTGAATTTTTCTTATTTTCCAATTAAGAAACGGAAACAACACTTTATCAATTTCGTGCATAAGAAGAGCTTTTCTGGATTTAAACTCATCAGGAACGCTAAAACCAAAACATTCGAAAGTCAAGGATGTATAAAACCTACACATATGACCAAAAGGGACCCCAAAATAGCCAGATTCATCTATGGTCAACTTTGCCTGAGTGAGTTGGATTTAGAGGTTTGATTTTCCAATCCAGGGATATCGATAACATCCACACAATTTCTGTCATATATGTAAAAAATCATTAACGATAATAAAACATCTGATTTACTTTTGATGGTTTATAAGATGTAGGATGAATTTGCAAAATGTGTATGTTTGGCAATACTAGTATTTGGCTATTTCAGGTTTCAATGTAGCAACGAATCACAAACATGCCACAAAAACTGATTCAACATAGCCTCGGGTTTTCCCGAGAATCGAGAATGGATTCAATAATGCGATCAAGCAAGAACATAATGTTTTCAACAAGAACTAAAAATCAACAAATCTCAAATTTACTAGAATTTGAAAGGAAAAAAATAGACAACAGCGAACAACTGGTATTAGTTCAAACCACTCGAAACATTAACAATGAAAGAGACTCCTTGTCAAAAATGTTAGCTCTGAGAAAAATCTATCAACGACACAGTTTCGAGAAGTACGACCCTGTTCTCCATCCCCAGAAAAGAAATCGGTATTGTCACTTAGACGCCAGAGATTTAATGAAGATGTGGTTTAAAGGAAAAACTGTGTCAATAGGGAAAACTGAATCCGACACTCTATCTCAAACTGACTCGCGTCCTATGTCTTCTATATATCGTCGAATGCGCGTGGCTAGCGGGAGGAGCAGAAAGATGAGTTCTGTGTCAGGAGAAGCCGGCACATGGGGTAATTTATTGACAGAAACAATCCACGAAGAACCCAAAAGTGAAATTGGATCACTGACAGGGGGAGACGAAAATGACGATGATTTGGAAGAAGTTGTGTATCGTTTGGATGATAACAAACTTCACATCGTACCAAATAAAACTGTTCTCAGCTCTGAAAGTAAAACAGAAGTAACAATGGATGTGATGAATCCCATATATAAAACGGAAGGTAAATCGCAGGATAACGAGCACACGAAAGTGACAAACGAAATTCCATTTATAACATGTGATAAAATAACAGAAAACGATGTTATTAATAAAAACACAAGTTCAACTTCCTTAGTTGAAGAACAAATATCAGAACAACAACTGGACAATACTTTACCAAAAAGATACAAACCTGAAGATCCCTCCCTCGACAAAAATCAAAAGAAAGATCTTTTGCAAGATATTAAAAACCACGATCCGTCGAATGATACTTTGAAATCTAAGAAAACAATCAGGAAAAGCGTTGAAATAGATAACGGAAACGTCAATCGAAACAAAGACACCTCTGAAGAAAGCATTCAAGCTAAGGAAGAAAAATCTGAACAGAATAATTCCGAAAGGACTGTTTGTGTTGATCCGGTTAAAATTGGTATAACAAATGAAAGCACTCCAAAATCTTTAGAACAGACAGAAAAACAAAATTTAAATAATTTAGAACATGATTCCCCAAATAGAAAAACAACCGATGAAAACACCAAATCAATAGCTAGCGCTAAAAAGAAATATCAATTGAGAAATCAAAAGCTAGCCAAAGAAACTACAATACTCCCAGAAAGAGAGAACAGCGTCATGTCGGCCACATCAATATTATCAAATAAATCACAGACCACAAAACATTTACCAACTTCAAGTGGTGTAACGACAACCCATCGTACAAAAAGTGAGAAAAATGTAAAAGGGGCTACAAAAGACATGCATGAAAGCGTTGTTAATAATAACAACACAGGAAATGCAAATTATAAACTTTCCCAAATGCCTAAAGATAGAACTAACATGTCTGCAAAATCAAAGAATTCTGCAAAGATATCAACATGTGTAGCACCAGCAAGAGAAAAATCTTCCCTGTCAATGAAAACCCTATCGAAGGAAAAGACAATACTATCCAGAAATTCAATATCAAGAGAGAACACAAGCGTATCAGACAGAGGAAAAGAAAAGATTGACCTTCCTCGTGTAAAATCGATAACAACGGACTCTGGTAAATCTGTAAGAGATTCAACATCACGTGATATATCCGTAAGAGAATCGACACCACGTGATATATCTGTAAGAGAATCAACAGCAGGTTATAAATCTGTAAGAGAATCGAAATCACGTGATAAATCTGCCAGGAAATCTACATCACGTGATACTTCTGTAAGGGAATCGACATTCCGGAAGGATTATACTAGGAATGAAACAATTAAGGCAACGGGTTCGAATTTAAAGAAACAGCAAAATCACTCAGCAATTTCAATCGATACAAACATACCAATGACCGCTCCTGGTATTCTTAAACGATCAAATCCGGAAACAGATTCTAGACATATTCAAAATAAAAGTACAAATGATACAAGAAGATCAAGTAGTGCTTCTACTTTAAGATATGATACCAACCATATTCACAATGCAGCTACAAACAGACCTGTAAACTGGAAAGGACTGATCAATAAACTGAGAGGACAAAATACAGGGGCAATAGTTGATGATCGGGTCATTGATGCAAAAAGCACGAGACGTCTCAAGCGCCGCGAGAAGACCTTTGTTTTATGTCGAGAAAGAACAATATTTCCGGGTGAATGTAAATCAACGTGGCAAATGCGTAAATTTATTGAACGCGAGGTAAGTGACCTCATGTTTTCGCAATCACCAAAAGGTAAACGACAATATCAAATCGACTTACTAAAAGAGAGGGAAAACTTAAGACTACCGTTATTTGTAGACAATACAAAATCGACCTCTGCAATATTACGAGATTTCAAACACATCAGAAACGTTGAAAGAACTGTTACAGCACCGTAGACTTTTTCATACAGATATTTTTTTCCAAATCAATGGAAGATTAAAGTTAGTGATATACATGGTGTTGAAAGGTGCAAATCTGCGTTGAGATAGTTTGTGAAAGCATGACAATAACACAATTATGAAACTGTTCTGTGTGTCAGAAAACAAACTGAGCTCGTTAGTGCTCATATAAGTACATACTACAGAAACAACGATCAAAACTATAGTTTTGGAACGAAGTAGAAAATAAAATATTTTTTTCTAATTTCTTTAGAAAGCTTATTAAGGTAAATATTCTGTTGAGGGGGAATACTCATCATAATGGGATACGCCATTACTATCCACAGTAGTCAAATTGACGTGTTTAATACAATTCTACTATACTTTTTTTAGTAACACCATTACTTTTCACAATAGTAGTCCACTTGACTTGTTTAATACAATTCTACTAGACCTGTTTTAGTGACCCCATTACGTTCCACGTTAGTAGTCATTTTGACGTGTTTAATACAATTCTATTTAAGACATTTTTCAGTAAAGTATCCTAAAATAATTAGATGGTATTACTTCCGACAGCTTTATTCTATTTATTATTGGTATTCACTGGCAGTTTGTGTAAATGATCAAAAGACGTGGAGTATATGTAAATAAAGAGGGAAAGAAACATACAGTGTTAGAGCATTGAGTTTTCTATTGTGACGCTAAATTCTACCTATCTACAAAAAAGTTATAACAAAAATACCGAAATCCAGGGTAAATTAAAAAACGGAGAAGTCCATAAATCAAACGGTAGACTATATCAACCAACGGAACGAATGGAAAACAATCCTCACTTGGTATTGGCATTTTCTAAAGAAAATGGTGAGTTACACCTGGTTTTACAGCTAGCTAAATCTCCCAGTTGTTTATAGTTCCGTTATATTGACAAAATTGGGTGAGCAACCCTGACAGACACAATTTCTTAATGGACAATACTTGGGATCCAATAGTCCAAACTGTGTCAACATGCATATATCACAGACAAATAACACAACTGACTCAAAATTAAAAAAAAAACAACATACAAATAAATCTGATAAAGACGCAAACAAAAAAGTTATTGTAGTTGTTAGTAAATCTGACAAAGACGCCAACAAAAATGTTGTTGTAGTTGATAGTACATACAAATGAACAGTTTATTAAAATATTATACCGTACAAGTATGCAGTTTCCCGATAAAGTACGAATAAATACAAGGGTAAACAAAATAAAACAATTAAAAGCACTTTCAGATCTTACAAAATAGATACAAAAAAATAATGAATTTGGCATAGATTGTCAAAAATCTTTCTTCAACACCAAATTTCACAAAAAACAAACACATTGGAGATATGACTGAAGGCAACCACTTAGGACAGCCAGAATTTGAAAAGTATTTGTATCACTCAATTTTCCCTCGATGTATAAACTTAATCATTGAAATAACATTACTGCTGGTGGAGGTTTGCTCCCCGAGGATATCAACAGCCCAGGTAGTCAGCACTTCTGTGTTGACAGGAATTGTTATGTATATGATCATAATTATGAATTACTAGTAACTGTTTTCAAAACTTTAAATTTTTCGAAATGCTAAGGGTTTTCTACCCCAGGAATAAATTACTTTCGCTGTATTTGACAAAACCGTTCGGATCTTTGGGTCCTCAATGCTCTTCAGCTTCGTACTTTATTTGGCGTTTTAAACTTTTTTGATGAGTCTTTTGTAGACGAAACGCGCGTCTGGCGTACACAATTTCAATCCTGGTATCTATGATGAGTTTATTAACTACCCGATGGTATTACCAGCCCAGTAGTTTGCACTTCTGTGTTGACACGAATTATCATTGTTAGGGTCATAATTATAAATTAACTGTTTACCAAACTTTTCATTTTTCGAAATACTAAAGATTTTCTACCCCAGGAATAGATAACCTTAGCTGTAGTTGGCAAAACCTTTCGGAATTTTGGATCCTCAATGCTCTTTTTTTGTTCTTTTTCGTCTCAAAGTTAGCCCTGCTTTATATAGGGTTGTAACACAGTACATGATGTATAGTGCTAAGAAGATGTGTACCGTTCAGATCAGCTATATTTTGTCTGTTGTAAAGGATGATTGTAATTACCATGACGTCACATCATATAATAATTTTGTTATATACGTCTAAACACGTGACAACTTTATAACAGACGTTCTCCATTGGATAACCCGTGGTTATACAGGACTATATATATAATAGTGTTGTCAATTGGTAACCGGTTAACCGTCGAAAGGACCGAATATCAAACAGCTAAATCATTAACTGGTTAATCGGACCTTTTTTTCAATTTTGATAGTTTTGATATAAATGTATATTGAAATCATAAAAAAAAACAATACTAAAATTTTAACATAATTTTCGTGGTACTTAATGAGATCCATTATCAAGTACTTTCGTGATTTAATTAAAAATGAATACATTCAGATTTTAACTAAATTGATTAGGACGAAGAATCTTTGTCTATCGGCTTGGGACAAAATCTTATAAGTAAACATAATTTTTTAGGTGTGTAAAACACATACATAGAATAAAGCTGTAAGCTGATCAAGTTTTAACATTTAGTTGTTCATTTCATTTTTAACTTAATATTTAGTGAATGTAAATATATAAATGCAAAGCATCCACATCCAAGGCTAGATTATATTTCAAAAGTAAAACTTATTAAAAAATTGTGAAATGCAAACTTAACCATACATCGGGATAAAGTTCTGTAGACATTTCTTTGATTGGTTGATTGATTGTTGTTTACGTAACGTCCAGTGAAACATATTTCATGCTAGTTTAGGAATAAAGCAAATTAACAATTAATTCAATAGGCAGGTCCTGCAATAGGGGCCGACCGTCATGGAGGGTCCAAATTTCTAATGCTACTGTGAAATGAGGGTATATTTGATAGGAACAGAAATTCAGTTTTGCAACAGGGCACCGAAGGACCCTCAAAGAGTTGCTGCAAGGGTTATTTACGTGCAAAGAGCGCTACTTTTTCTCTACACGAGGCATCGGATTTAATGTACCCATCATGACCAGAAGTGGCAGCGAAATCATACATCCCACACAGCCAAAAGGACGCCCCACTTTGGCAAGTGTTTTATTGCAGGTCCGAAAAGACCAAAAATATGTCTTTACCCCCAGTCACCCTTAGTGTCCATTTTCTTTGAACATAAACTTTCATATCGGTTAAACGGTTAATCGGTCGAAAGATTATCCGAGTACCCGGTTAGATAACGATGTTCAATTTGACAACACTAATATATATATATATATACATAAATACTAATAATGTTTTTATATTACAGTACAACTGAGTTATCTGTAGTTCGATTTTCTGATTCAATAGAAACTCAAGGAAATACTTGTAGCAGTTTGACTAACTGTTTCAACAACAATCTCTCGTTAAGATTTGAAACAAATCCAAAGAATCCATTATAGCAGTTTTGTCCAACTTTTTGTTGCATTTAGAAAAACCTATTTACTCTGGATTAATTTTCTCATTATGTTGAAAACTAAAGATGCAGGCTATTTTACTATCTATTTTCCAAAAATCCCTTCCTTTCAGAATTGAAATATGCATGTATTAGTTTTCAATAAATTCTCATATCAGTGAGGGTAAAATATACCAAAGTCAATTGTTATAACTTTTAAGTGTCCTAACGCAAAAAAATCATAATTACATATACATGTACAGTGTACACTCTAATTTTTCTTATCAAAACAATTTTGCATGTTTTGTGAATCGAGTTTTTTTTTTAAATGCACCATAATGGATTTTCTGAAACTCTTCTTAAAACAAGAGATAGCCTAATGTTTACTAAACATATAACAGTCTTTGTTTCATTAATGTAGACAAACAACCAATTGGTCATAGCATTACATACTGATAAAAATATCAATGTTCATCTTGTAAGGGGTAAACTGACCTTGAAAATTAAAAATTGATAATATGATAAGAGTTGTCAGAAGTTATCAACAGATATTTTAGAACTGGATTCCAGTCTCAACATATCAGTCGTTTCTTTTAAATCTGTAAGAAAATAATTTATGTGCAAAGAAAAATCTACAGCAATTTTCTGCTCAGAGAAAATATTTCTTGTAATTCTCTTTAAAATTTCAGTCTCTATGAATTCAAAAACCTCCACAAGTTTTTTTTAGAATTTTACTGTGGGCTTACTTCATTAAAAACCCACCATGCGTTGATGCAAATTTGAGGATCTAACATTGTTGGGATAAATTTGAGGCGAATTATATGTATATGATTCGTCTCAAATTTAGCTCAACAATGTTAGATCTTCAAATTTGCGTTAGCAAATTTTTGTTCTTCCCTCAGCGGAATTCAAACCCTTGCTTCTGTGACATCGTGGCAACACCGACTGCACCGTGTCCAGCGCCCTAGACCAATCGACCATATACAAATATAGCTTTCGGTGGTCGATGTTATGTCTTTCCTCGTCGGCTTTATCTAGGGTTGTAACACAGTACATGATGTATACTGTCAAGTAGATGTTGTATACTTTTCAGATCAGCTATTTTGTCTGTCGTAAAGGATGATCATCTTAATTACCTTACCGCCACATCAAATTTTAATTGTATTATACACGTCTTAACATTTGACAACTTTATGACAGAAATTCTTCATCGGATAACACGTGGTTATACAGGGTTAACACCATAACATATATATAATTCGTCTCAAATTTAGCCCAACAATGTTAGATCTTCAAATTTGCGTTAGCGGCAATCGAACCCTTGCTTCTGTGACATCGTGTCAACACCGCCTGCACCGTATCCAGCGCCCTAGACCACTCGACCATCTAGGCTACATAAAAATATAGCTTTCGGTGGTCGATGTAGTGCCTTTCCTCGTCGGCTTTATCTAGGGTTGTAACACAGTACATGATGTATAGTGGCAAGTAGTATATATATGGATTTGCAATTACTCACTTTTCACCTTTTAAAGTACGTATGTTTAATTTTGTTGGGCGCATTACATTTGTGCGTATTTGGGGATAACAAACACTTACGTTTGCGAGCATTCATTTTACATGTAACACAGATGAATTATCTTTAAAAATGTCGATAGTTATCGATTTGAATTATATATTTTTCATATTGAATTTCAACAAACGGCTTGAAATCATTCCATGCTCACTACAATCAGCAATTTTACTCAAGACATCCTTGAATTTTTTTGTTTCTTGACATTATTTTAAAAATTACA